GCAATCTATGTTGTGCAATATGTGTGGTGCAGTCTATGCTGTGCAATCTATGATGTGCGCAATGTTTGTGGTGCAATCGATGCGGTGCGAAATCTAGGTAGTGCAATCTGTGTAGTGCAACTGATGTTGTGCAGCCGATGTGTGCAGCCCATATAGTACAATCTATGCGGTGCAATCTAAGTTGTGCAATCTAGGCGGCGACGATGACGAGCACGGAGCTGCCAGACCGCCCAGACGACGGGCAGCGACGGGGCGGCGACGGCGAGCACGGAGCCGCGAGTCCGACACCTAGGCCCAGTTCCTCAGAGCAGAAGTAAGAACTACTAAGTGCAAGTACTGTTTGGGAAACCTATATATATATACACATAATTGATTAATTAATCAATTAATTAATTAATTACATACATACATACATACATACATACATACATACACACATACACACATACACATACACATACATACATACATACATATCCTGCTTTCTTCCCCCCGCTCCCACCGCCCGCGCGTCTCTTTCCCCCTTCCGCTCTCTGCACCCCTCCCTTCTCGCCACTATTCTCGTCTGTGCCTGCCTCTCCGTGGTTGCAGGTCGCCTGTCGCCGTCCGTGTTCGAGAACCCGAGCTCCGCGCCGGTGAGCGCCATCTCCTCCGTCGAAGGCGGCGGCACAGCATGGGCGGAGGAAGGCGAGGAGGGGAAGCGGGATCACGATGAGCCATATGCTACAACGACAAGAATCATGCGGCAAAATCGGCCATACCGTACGGCGAGGGCATTAGATGAGGAACCACTGGATAAGGAATCCAGGGTCTGGCAGCTGGTGGAACGCCCATTGAGGCTTGGCCATGGCTACCACCGCCGCCCTCATCGGAGAAGGAATGCTCCAGGGTCTGGAGCTTCCTGGGCACCTTCCTTAACGAACGCCCCCACCGTGTAGCGGCTCCCCGCTGCCGATCCAAAAGTTCTTGTCCAGGAGGAGAGGGGCCGGCCCACACGCAATGGGCTGGTTATACGCAAAGAGCGACCCTGAGCAAAAGAGCCTTCCTTTGTGTGCGCCTTCAAGGGGGCGCCGGGGGCCAAGCCCAAGCGCGCGAGCCTCGGCTACGGCATCACACTCAGCGAGCGGGGCACCCCAAGTGGGCCCGCACCAACGGTCAATTCGGCGAAAAGCCACTCTTACCCATCGGTCGGAAGACGTAGGTAGAAACATGAAGCAGGGAGGCGCTGGAAGTAGCTTGGGGTTTCCGCCCGCCCCCCCAAAGAGAACGGAGAAGGTGAAGCCGCTTGATCATGAAGTAGGACGGCGCCCAAAGTATATTTGAATATGGGGATCCAAAAAATACCTACACGTCGTTCAGTTCTAATCGTGCTCATTTCTAATTGTGCTCGTTTCTAATTCTTCCTGGCCCCCCAGTGGCCAGGAGGCGGCCCAGGATGGAGCGATTAGAAACGGCAGGATCTAGCCCCCCAAAAAAATCATAACTCTCGAAGAGTTAGACATGAACAACGTGTAGATTGGAATCTGGGGCTCCGAAAAATACCGGCTCTCAACGACCGATGGGTACGTTAAAGGCCTCCTAGATGGGGTCGGAGGATCGCGCCACATCGCCGATGCATCGGCGACATCGGCGATGCATCGGCGACGCCATCGTGGAGAAAATCGGGCTCCACATCGAGCCGCATCGGCGATGCATCGGCGATGCGGCGCGATCCTCCGACCCACAGTCTGCTCGGACCCCATCCGGGAGGCCTAGACACGTGCAGCCGCTTCCCTCCTGCTGGGCCGGGGCCGCCGGCGCGCCCTGCGCCGCGCCAGCCCGGGCCAAACCCCCGCGCGCGGCGCGCTCTCCGCCGCTCGGGGTGTACGGGGAGAGGTCCGCTCCACCGCGGCGCCTCGGCGACGAGAGGCCCCTCTCGGGGGGGCGCCGCAGAGGAGGAGCCAAAATCCTGAGCAGGGACCGGCCGTCCCGGCATTCCTATCGTCCTGCCACGAAATGTTCTTAGAACCCAAGAGTGTTCTAAGAACAAAAACTCGGCGGTGGACAAACCTCCCTTTAGTAAACCTCCCTTTAGTGAAAACGGTTTAGGACCGAAGCCAGCGGACCTGGACCCGCAAAAATGACGGCCGCGACGCCCTCTCGCGAACCGAAAACGGCCAATTCCTTAATCGACGTGTCAGGGTAGGAGGTCTGTCCACCCCCGAAAAACAATGTTCTTAGAACATTAGCCCGACGTGTTACAACAAGACGGTCTCGACCAGAAGTGTTCCAAGACAATTTCCCTTTTTTTCCACCCGGACTCGGACTGGGCAGGAATTGTGATCCCGAAGCCGTCGTGAGGTCGGAGCCCCTTCGATTCGGCAGCCCTTGATAAATTCAGACCTGAATGCGCGAGAGCGGGAGCCATCGGATCTTTACAGCTGGTGCGCAACCCTCCGAGCAAGTGCCAGGAGAGGGAAAAGTAAACATCTGCCGCCGACATGCCCCTCCCGCCGCGTGCTCACCAGGGGCCGAAGAAGCCGTTCGAGTTGGCCAGGACGGAGGCACCGAAGAACACGCACATCACGACGATGTACAGCTGCGGGTCCTTCACCTCCAGCCCCTCCGCGCCGCCCCGGGCCTGCATCGCCACCAGGCCGCCCTCCGAGCTGCTCGCGATCGTCGGGGCGGCGCCCGCGGCGAGGGCACCCGTGTCGGCGCGCGCCGCCATGCTGCCAGAGGGCGCCACGAACGCGAGCCCGCGCAGGGTGAAGAGGCACAACGCGGCCAGGACGAGCACCGGGAGCGTCTTAGACTTGAGCGCCATGGCCACTGTCCGCTGGTAAGGCAGGCTGGGGCGAAAGCGGCTTGAGCAAAAACAGCTTGAGCCAAACCACAAAAAGGGTCTTAGAACTTTTGTTGGTAGGCCTATAGGCGAGCCACGACGCTTCGCCACCGCTTGAAGTTCGAGGGAACGCGCGCCGCGCGGGCGCGCTCGTCGTCCCCGGCTTCTGCGCGGGCCGGCCGCGCGCGCTTTTCCCGCTTCTGGCCCTCCCGACCTGCTGCGCTCTGGTCGGGCAGGCCCTCCGGCAGGCGGAGCCTGGACGGAGACTGGAACCTCGCCCAGGAGTGCTCAGAGATGATCAGCACTGGTAGGGACACCGCGTCCCCTCCCCAGACCCAGCCTGTTCCCCCCTGTGCTGGAGGGCAGCGTGCCCGCCTCGAGCCTGCGCGCCGACGCGGCGCGCGAGGCCGCGGCGCCCCGGCACAGAGAGGATGCGCTCGGCGTGGCTGGGCCGCCGCGAGGGCCAGCGGCGTGCTCGCGTGCCCTCGGGCGGCAGAGCGCGTGCCCGCGTGCCCCGGGGGGCGGGCCTCGGCGCGCGGCGGCCTCGGCGGGGCGCCTCGGCGTGCCCCGTCCCGCCTTCCCCTCGCCCGTCGCCTCGGGCCTCCTCCACCTCCACCCCATCCCCCCTCGCCCTCTCCACGTCCACCTCCACCTCCTCCCCTATCCACCCCCTCCCCCCTCGCCCTCTCCACCTCCACCTCCTCCACCTCCACCCCCTCCCCCCTCGCCCTCTCCACCTCCACCTCCACCTCCTCCACCTCCACCCCCTCCCCCCCTCGCCCTCTCCACCTCCACCTCCATCTCCTCCACCTCCACCCCCTCCCCCCTCGCCCTCTCCACCTCCACCCCCTCCCCTCGCCCGCCTCCTCGTTCCTCCACCTCCTGCTTCTGCTCCTGCTCGCCCCTCCCCCTCGACAGCCGAAGATGCGATCAAGAAGATCAGCACGCAAGGAACCTGGGCCAGCTCCCCGGAAGTTTCCTCAAGAAGCCCTGGGCGACTGCCTGCTGTTAGCGCTGACAGGGGTGCAGATGCTCGAGACACGGGGCCAGCTTTCCGGCAAGCTGGTTAAGAAACGCTGGCCCAGTGTTTCGGGAGGAGGCTTCTTAACCAGGTGCTCGACTGTATTCCCCCTTCAATCCCATCTCTTTCGATCGGGAACTTTTGCTTAGCGTGTCGGCGCGGCGGCCCCGGGGACACGCTCTGCCCTGCGAGCGGATACCTTGTCGCTCCGCTTCGCGGGGCGGGCGGCTCGGAAAATCTCGGTACGTGGACGCAACGGAACCGCGAAGTGGATAGCGTGTGGCACCAGGGTGCGGTGTGCCAAATCCGGCGGAGCGACATGCTACCCACACGTTCCCGAAGGTAGCAACTCTACGCTGGCAAGCAGTCGTGCTGCCGAAAGGGCTCCAACTTTGCCAATGTGCGCGCGTCAAGGGGAGGGGTGGGGAGGGCACGGCTGCACCGGGACCATGTCAGAAGTCTTCACGAGGGGGCTGTTTTCGGGGATGGACAGAACCCCCTTTAGTAAGACGTGGTGCAGTGAAAACGACTTCGGGCCCAAACCTGGCGGGCCCAAGCCTGGAAAATGATGGCCGCGGCGCCCTCTCGAGAACCGAAACCGGACAATTTACTAATCGACGTGTCAGGGTGGGTGTTCTGTCCACCCCCGATGTTTGGGGGACCATGCGAGAGGACCGCATGGGGGGAAGGTGTGAGAGAGCCACACGAGGGCATCATACTGGGGACGGTGCCGCCGCCCTCGCACGCTCTCGCTCTCTTATTCGTATGGGTGGGCGCTGTGGTTGGCAGGATGCACGGCGGTTCCTCTTCAAAACGGGGGGCCCTCGCCTCAGGCAGCATTGTCATGGGGCGCCTGCCTTTCAAGCGTAGGGCTTGCGGTAAAGGGATGCGTGTATAGACCCATTAGGGGGAGACCGAGGGCGATAGGGCGTAGTGTAGCATAATTGACGCATCTGGATTTACTCTGGTCCCCTGTCCTCCTCCGCCGCCGCCCCCTCCTCCTCGTAATCCTCCTTTTGCTCTGCCTCGTCGTCGTCGCCATTCTTTTCCTACGACTGCAGAGGCAAGTGGTGGGGAGGAGAGAGGGTGCTAAGCGAAGGGGGGAGGAGGGGCACGCTCCAGGGGATGGAGAAAAACAAATTAATCACACATTTC